GGTGAGTGGGTTCTATACGTTATTGGATCAACCTGGGGTTGTCCAAAAAGAGCCTGTCTTTTGCGATCTAGAGCTTCGCATTCGCACAGTATGTGTTTGGCCGTTTCTGGTTTCTTGTGACACAGTCGGCACATGAGTTCCCCATTGTACATGCCAATTTTGTTCAAGTGTCCCTTTACTGGGGCGTGCCCAGTCATGAACCCTGTTATCACTTTCATTAAGAGTAGTTCTCCAGTTCTTTTGGGACATGGTCTGCCTATGAAGGCTTTTCCATGTGCCTGTTTTGGGATGCTTCCCCAATAGTTGATATGTTGTTCCCGAATCCAGTCATTTATAAAACCCCGGACTGTACTTTTTGGTACTCCTGGGTTTGTGTCTGGTTCCTCTTTTTGCAAGTTCGTCAGCCTTTTCGTTGCCTTCGATCCCTTTGTGACCTGGCACCCAAAATAGTTTTACTCTATTTCGGTCTGCCAGTGTTCTTAGTTCTTCGATGCAGTCCCATACCAGCCTCGACGTAACTTTCTGACTTCTAATATTATTATCTATAATTTTTGTTTTATACCAAATTTTCCTGAAATTATCCGTATTCGAGAAATTTAACAAAATATGCAAAATTTTTAGTATATCTGTAGAAAAATGTATGTAGAAAATGTATATATTTAGTTTATCCTCTAAACATTTATAGATGTGCTGCAATAGGTTGTACAAAATAACCGGAAAAAGCATATAATAACTAGATAGAAAGGTCATGTGTTGGACACATAAGATTTTTATTTAAATTAATACAATTAGGGGTCTATTCCGTAAGATACCTTAAAATTTAAGGCCTTTTAAAAATTTTACTTTTTTAATAAAAACTGTATTATGTGTCCACAAATTTTAGAGGCCTGAATAATTTTAACGATGTCCCTTAAAATAACAGGGGAAAGCTTGACAACATTGTATTGATCAGTGCTTGAGATTCACTTGAACTAATTTTGATCTGAGGTACGCATGGGAATAGTCCATTTAAGAAAAAGAATAGCAGATAACATAACCAAACATTTTACAGAAGGTGGGAAAAGAAATAAAACAGGTCCTTTATACCTCACAAAGAAATTTGTATTTGATCGGCGACCGGTTTAGAAATGTGTTCCATATTTAAATTAAAATATAAGATTAACCGTTTAAATGCACTGGTAACAAGTTTCGTTCCTCTTATTTTCATGAAGCCAATGACAATTGACATTGGCAGTGTGACAGGTGTCTAAAATAAATACAATGTTGCCATATCAATTATTACATAGGAATGGTCATTTTTACCTATGCTCTGTGTTGTACCAGGCCAACCAATTGACTTCATTGTCAGAAATTTTTTATAAAACTAACGATTTAAAAAATACTTATATCAAGATCTTCTTCCTCACCCTCATCGGCAGAGTACTCTTCGACGTCAATATTTATATACAATATGAAGACGAAGCAATGACTTTTTGTAGGGTGGCGGCTTCGACGCCACCAGAAAATTTCAACCCATACCTGGCTACTCCGACCGGCATAGACTTCAACAGCCTGGACACAGCTCAAATTGAAATTATAAATATTAGATAAGTACCAACATGCTGTAATTAACGCAAAATTATCATTAAATAACCCAACCTAACCTAACCTAACCCAACCTAACCTAACCAACTCTCACTAGCATCTGGCCAGTGAACTCCGATCCCAACTTTTAACGAATGTGTCTTTATAGTAGGCATCTAATAATAAGAAAATATACAATAATAGGAAGCAACGACTTCTTCTAGGGTGGCGACTTCACCGCCACCAGAAAATTTTTACCCATACCTGGCTACGCCAGCCGGCATAGACTCCAGCGGCCTAGACATAGCTCAAATTGAAAAAAAAACAAGTATTTTTTACAAATATTATATAAGTACCGACATGCCGATGCACAGTCATCATGAAATGAAATAAAAAGACGGATGTCTGTGATTACTACAAATGTTTTCACTTAGGGATCCAAATCACTTGCTGACCAGACACTATGTCATTTTTCAGCCAACTTTCATTAACCGAATTATTTCCTGACTTATATGTTTTCTTACTCGATTTGGCAACACCGCATTTATAGAAACTATAAACGTCAATTGTCATTGAAAATAATTTACTGTCTATGTGTTTTTCTAACAAACTAAAAATGAAAAATAAGAAAATTTGATCGTTTATGAAAAAAATTGGTATGGTTTATTGCTCTATGAATGGTCTAATATTGATATTTACTCGTAGCCGTTTCTACAATAAGAAATCTGTGAAAATGGTTTATTTCGCATTTGTTTTATGGTGGAGACCCGACAACAAATTTTAAGGATTTTAAGGCCGCAATATCACTGTATTTTTCATATAAGAAGCAAGGGTTCACCATTTCCGATTGCATTTAAATCCCGCTAAATGTATTAAAATGAATCTTCTACCAGCTTAAAGTATTAGGTTTGGAGAATGAAATCTCCTATTTTTAATTTGTCCTGTTTATACACTGAAAAAAAAATCATAAAAAGTGATTTTAAAGGCTAAAAGGTAGGAGATTTCATTCTACATATTTTTCCAAGTATCCCGTCAAAATATTTCTAAATTTTATTGCGTATTTTTCAAATTTAACTGGAAATACGATTAACAAATATTTGATAAATTTATTTGTCAAATTAGAGATTTTCTATGAATTCCTGTAATTGTGTAGTTCATCTATTTTTAAGAAGATGTCATCGTAAAAAACAATTTAGCTACTCAGCAAAAAAATAAGTTAAATAAGCTTTGCCAGTGGCGTACGTCATGGGCAAGTAACATCTTTTTTCCTTCTAAATTTAAGTCCACTGTCCACTGTTTTTTAAATAAAGTTGAATTAGTTTTTGAGATATTCGCACATATCTGAAAATTCAGAAGTTTTTAAATTTCGATTTTTTTTATTATATTTCTAAGAAGAGTACATTATTTATTTAAAAATATCAAAAAATTTTAATTTTTATGTCCAAATAACATTTTGGATAGTGACGTAAAATTTAGGAGGGATGCGGTATTACGTACCAATGCTGTACGCCACTGGAAAAGTTAATTAAGGTAACTAATTTTTTTGCTGATAGGTGGATAATTTGACACCGAAAACGTTTGCCAAATTTAGTAAAATTTTTGTGAGTAATAAAAAAATATAGCCATAAATATTTTTTGGATTTTAACACCGTAATTCGGCACCGAGAAACATTTCATCTAAGCATGATTTGTTTAGTTGTCTTATTTTTAATCAGAGAATCGTCAGTTGTTCTAAGTCCCATTCTTAACGAAACACCATGTTAGTATAAGTGGTCCCTACGTAATGTTACGAATACTTCTGTTCTTTGTTGACTGGAAACAAGAATGATTTACTAAGTAAATATACCGATGTGTCGAATTTAATCCAAAACTTTTATTTTTATACCTGTTACATCGAAAATATTTGTCAAGGTCAACAACTAGTTTACTTATTATCACGTAGTAGCTAGGGGTGATGAATTTGTTATTTTAAAACAGTTACCGTTTAGAATTAATAAAATTATTACGCCATCTGTTGAACAAAAGAACTATTAAATATGGAATATTGTTCCATCTGCTGAACAAAAGGATTCTTAATTTATGACACAAAACTGACATCTATTAAAATTAGTTCATGTTACGAATATTGGGGGTGGTACTGTGGTCTTAAGGTAAACATTTTTTTTAATGTCAGCGGACCCAAAACTGTTATGTATAGTGTATTTCGAAGTGTCTAGAAACTTTCTGTAATATTATTTGAATAGTTATGTTCGCCATTCGAGTGTCGGCATATAATACTAAAACTACAAAAATGTATAACTCAGATAATATGAACAAAATACGATACCCCTGTCCAGTGATAAGATTAACTAAATTATAATCATATCTGATCGCCAACAATACATACAATCAGTCTACGACAAAAATAATGGCTGTAAAAGCTTATCAACAATAAATAACTTTTTAATTTTTTTTTCGTATATTTAAACAAGGTGAGTCGAATTTTTCTCTAGTAATTTGAATGGCTAAAAACGCACGTTACATTACATGCTAGAAAATACATATTTTCGTTCTTTGTTCAACTATTAGTGTACACACCTACTATTGATAAGATTAAATATTGCTAAATATATTTGTCTCTCACGTATATGAGAATTAATTCATTTTTAACTAAATTAATACAAATAGGACAACGCTTGACATCTTTGTATTGATCAGTAGGTACTTGAGATTCACTTGAACTAATTTTGACCTGAGTTACGCATGGGAATAGTACATTCAAGAAAAAGAAATAAAGGTCCCAAATTATATCCGTGAGGGAAGCCGCTAATTGCAACATAAATTTGGTGTAAATAAGATTGAATAAGCAATAAATAAGAATTATTTCCAAAATAAAATAACTTATTTAGTAGAAATATGTGACCTGTATTATCAAAGGCTTTGGAAAAATTTGTATACACCCTCGTATACACCGCATTAATCTGTACTCTTCTAATATTAAACATCGGAAATTGATTAAAGACTCATAGGTTACTAATTGTCTATCTATGATTCATGAATCCACATTGATTTTCCGATATAATATTAGTCTTTGCTGACAGGTATAGTTGTATATGATACTCTCTAATATTACAAATAAAACAAATTTCCAAGAATCTTAAAAAACTGATGTTTATAATAATATATTAAAAATTATTTGAAGAGGATGCATTACAATTCTTATAACAGAAATGAGGATATTTTGTCAGAACCTGATGTATATTTTTTATCAATTTTTTATTGGCATTAATAATATGAGCTTATTTGTTCTTAAAGTTTATAATTTTCTTGTTTAATATTAGATTGACTATACTGATAATAATCCACATAGAAGTTTCCGTAATCCGTATTCCGTATTTAGTAGATTTATTTACGACTAAAAAACACTTAAACAGAAGAAGCAAATAACATCCACATACCTTAATAAATATCCTATTAACCTACACGATATAAACACTCCACTGTATGCAAATAAGACACAACAGACATATAAATTTCGGTGTGACTGGGTATGTCGCGCGCGTGACCATTAGCAGTACCAGCTTTGGTACGGAGCTCGAGTTGATAGAATTGACGCTAGTGCAGACCTGGAGTTTCCACTTCGAGCCGAAGACGTTTGCGATTGTCGACTTGAAGAATGTGGGTCATTGGGTCACTGGTCCGTGACTGGACTGCCCACTGGTAGCACTAAATAGTATTGACGGTACCGAGAAATTAAAATGTACCATCAAAACGTTTCATTCTTATGTTTTAATATTTAAGGCTGCTTTTTATTGTTGTAAGTGTTAATAATGTTTTACTTAATTGCTTACAGATATAATCAATATGTGAGGAGAAATTTAGATTACTGTCTATATTGCTGTCCTGCTAAACTAAAACATACTATCATAAGGAAAACATTGGAGTTTATAACGAATTATTGTTTTCATATTGTCCAGTATGTAACTCAGGCTTGTACAACATAGGGCCCTTTGTCCGTTGACTAGTTTGGCCCGCCTACGCCAAACTATACATTTTTCAGTAACAAAATTGCATTTGTAGTAATTGCCTTTTTTAGGAGCTTAATAGAAGGACCTGGTTCATTATAAGCTGATGACTTTTTTTTTCAGAAGCTCGACAACTTCCGAAGAAAGCCATAAATAAACTTACACACCTGTTTAATGTCTCATTTAAACTAAGGTATGTCCCCAGGAAAACCTCCGAACGAATTTTCGTCATATAGGTCAATATCTCTGTTGCCTGTAATATTGAAACTATTTGAAAAAATACTAACAACAAGACTGAAACCCATGATTAAAGAGAGGAAACTTATTCCAGATTACCAGTTCGGCTTTAGAGAAAATCATTCATCTATAGATTAGGTTCATAGAATCTCAAATGTGATTAAAAAAGCATTAGAAAACAAAGAAGTCAGCCATCTTCATCGATGTTGCGCAGGCTTTTGATAAAGTATGGCATGATGACTTAAAACATAAACAGAGTGTGCTACTTCCACAGCCATACATAGAGCTTTTGGATTCATACATTTTAGATAAATTCTTTAGAATAAAACAAGATGAATGATATACCTCAACTAGAACAAGATACAATAGTTACATTTGCAGATGATACTGCCATCTTAACGATAGGCAAAGATCATGAAGAGACTGCAAATAAACTGCAAACATCAGTTAATCAAATAATTAATTGTACCAAAAGATGGCGTATTAAACTAAACGAAACCAAATCTGTTAATATCAACTTTTCTAACAAAAATGGTTGAAAAATACCAATTAACATAAATAATGCTCAGGTCTCTTATGCTAACTCGGCAAAATATCTAGGTATTACATTAGATGCAAGATGGAAGGTCCACGTTAAAAAGAAAAGACAAGGGTTAGATATAAAATTCAAGAAAATGTACTGGTTACTTGGTAGGCATTCCAGCCTATCTACATATAAAAAATTCTATTATATAAACACGTTCTCAAACCAATTTGGACCTATGGCATTCAGCTCTGGAGTTGTGCCAGCTACAGTAATACTCTAATAATCTAGAGATTCCAGAACAAAGTATTGAGGAACATTGTTGATTCTCCTTGGTACATTAGACACAGCGACCTTCATTGACAACTTCAGATGGACACTGTTGATCAGACTATCACCAGATTCGCTAGGAGTCACAAAAACGGCTCCACCAACATGTGAACGTTGAGGCGATCCAGCTTCTTGACAACACGAACCTGACAGAAAGACTCAAGAGAGTGAAACCTTTTGAGTTAACGAAGTGATTGTGTCAATAACAAAGCAGGTTTAGTGTTACACGTTAGTTTAGTGTAATTAAGTTATCAGACCCTAAGGTACACTAGCGAGTAGAACTTTAGTTTTTACTTTCTATCTGTATCCAGATATAAGGAAAGTATAGGAATCATGATTTTTTTCGACCTCGAGTTTTCGACGGATTTTTACGTTTTGAGGTCCTCTGAATTTTTTGACTATTTTTGCGATGATGTGTGTGTGTGTGTGTGTGTGTGTGTGTCTGTGTGTGTGTGTGTGTGTGTGTGTGTCTGTGTGTGTCTGTGTGTGTGTGTGTGTGTGTGTGTGTGTGTGTGTGTGTGTGTGTGTGTGTGTCTGTGTGTGTGTCTGTGTGTGTGTCTGTGTGTGTGTATGTGTGTCTGTGTGTCTGTGTGTCTGTGTGTCTGTGTGTCTGTGTGTCTGTGTGTCTGTGTGTCTGTGTGTCTGTGTGTCTGTGTGTCTGTGTGTCTGTGTGTCTGTGTGTCTGTGTGTCTGTGTGTCTGTGTGTCTGTGTGTCTGTGTGTCTGTGTGTCTGTGTGTCTGTGTGTCTGTGTGTCTGTGTATCTGTGTGTCTGTGTGTCTGTGTGTCTGTGTGTCTGTGTGTCTGTATGTCGCATAACTCATGAACCGATACACAGAAAAACACCAAATTTTAAACTTAAGCTTTATTCCAGCGTCTTATAAACCGATTAGATTTTGGGCAAAGTCAGAACATCTGGGGGGGTACTTTATGGGTGGTCATTTTTATTTTTTATGGAATATATCTCTTATTTACGTTTGGAGAAGAAAATTCTTCAACTAAAAGTTACTTCTAATATAATTTTCTATAATTTTTGTTTTTTACAAAATTTTCCGTATTCGAGAAATTTGACAAAATGTAAAAAAAATAATTTTTCATAAAAATTATTTAAATAAAAGTTGTTTGTAATATAATTCTCTATAATTTTTATCCTACACATAATTTCTCTAAAATGGACCGTATTCGAGATATTTGAGAAAATGTGTAAATTTCGAATTTTGAAGAAAACTCAAAAACGGATAAAGAAAAAATATTAAATTTTAAACTTAAAGTTTATTTCGGCCTGACGTGAAATGATTAGATTTTGGACAAAGTCTGAACATCTGGGGGGGTACTTTATGGGATGCCGTTTTTATATTTTATGGAATATATCTCTTATTTATGTTTGCAGAAGAAAATTGTTCACATAAAAGTTACTTCTAATATTATTATCTATAATTTTTGCTTTATGTCAAAATTTTCTGAAATGGTATTGGAGAAATTTGACAAAATGTACAAAATTCTGATTTTTATGAAAATTGTTGAACTAAAAGTTGTTTGCGATATCGATCTCTATAATTTTTGTTTATACATGATTTTTCTAAAATGGACTGTAATGTAAAAGTGCTAAATTTAAATTTTTCAGTATTTTCGTTTTCAATGAATATCTATAGAAAAATGTTTTGAGGTAGATGATGTGGACAATGTATATATTTAGTTTATCGTCTAAACATTTATAGAGATGCTGCAATAGGTTGTACAAAATAACCGGAAAAAGCCTATAATAACTAGATAGAAAAGTCATGTGTTGGACACATCAGATTTTTACGATTGCAACCCTAGCTAAGTTAGGTTATAACAAAATTACTCTGCTGGCAACCCCGCGTCTAGGCGGTCGACATTTCTCAGGCAGAAAATTCCCCGTCACTTGCAAATTCTGGAAAAGTGCTATAGAAGCAAATAAGAATATTATTTATTTAGTACTGTAAAAGAACTCTTAAGATATTTTGTATTTTACAGTGCTTTTATAATACGTATGGTGTACTTTGTACCTGTCATTTACAGATGCCAGAGAATTGCTACGGAATTGCATAATACAAAATATCTTAAGAATACTTTTTGTTTCGTTAATTTTATGTACAGAAATTTACCAGTATGTAGAATCGACTTAAGTAAAACACAATAGGAAACTTTATTTAAAAAAAAAAAATATTACAAAAATAAATACCCTGGGCGCCAGCAAAAACTTGTATCTGCCACACCTGTTCAGCCTCAGTAAGTACCACACCACATAACAATATTTACTTGTTCCTGGTTAGTTATTAACAAGTATTAGAAATTTAAAATTTAAAAAAACTGACTTCAAAAACATGCAGATGCCATCACCACATCTTAACCAAATTTATATGGGACCACCCCTGAGGTACGCCTTTACTAACAAAATAATATAAATCGGACAAGGTGGTAAAGCATTATCGCTAAACATACATAAAAATTGAAGAGTTTGAGGATTTTTTCAAGGACCGAATTATTAGATTTTAACCCAATTTATATGGGAGCGCCCCTGAAGTACCCCCTTTCTAACAAAAAAAGAATTATTGAAATCGGACACCGTGTTAAAGAATTATCGCTGAACATACATAAAAAAAATATTGCGACGAATTGAGAACCTCCTCCTTTTTTGAAGTCGGTTAAAAGTACATTATTATTTCTTAATTTAAATAAAGTTCTTTTTAGGTCTGTTATCTCAAGTCTGAGCCGAGTACTCTTAATCCAAAGGTAGGTTCAAGTTTCTTCGCTTGGCATGAAGTTGTTGCGTCAGAATGACATGTTATTTGTGATTGTCGTGGTAAAGGTTAAATAGAGCTAGGATTACTAATAAATAAATGTATTTGTTTAATTTTAAAAGGAAAATTTATTTAAGAATTAAGTGATAACCTTGTTTCAACAGTGTACGATACAATATGTGGAAAATTATGTAAGTATTTTTCCAGAAATGTTTTAACTAAATTGATTAGCATGTAAAAAGAAATGTGTGGTATAAATTTGGTTAGGATTTTAAGTTCAATCATATCAAATCTTATTTTGTTGGATCACCTTTTATTTTAAGTTCTATATATTAATTAAAATTAATAGAATTTATTGTAGAATAGAATATAACGCATTCTTGTTTATCTTTTTATTAATTTTTTCTAGGCCTTTTTAAATAAAATATTTATTAAAAGATTTACTTGTTTTTCAAATTTATGCAGTGGTACCTTGTAATCCTATTGGGCGTGATGTTCCAGCGATGTAATGTTTCAGTTTCTTTTTACATTATTGTGGAAATAATATAGTCCAGCATTTGAAGTTTTAAGCGACAATTTTCAAAAAATCGACAGCAGATTTTTCCTGTTATCACAGCTTCAATGCCAAGAAGAAAAAACAACACGTAATACAGGAATCTTCGTTGTCGACTTTACGATAACACTTTTTTAATGTTTATTGAACAAGAGATTAAGAGAGACTGCCTTCCATTTTCGCGGAAATTGCTTTTAATAAAGTTTGATGTCAAAGC